TCTAACACACATTCGTGTTACTATACCTTTATTTACGTTCATGTCACCAAACATATCTAACACACATTCGTGTTACTATACCTTTATGTACGTTCATGTCACCAAACATCTAACACACATTCGTGTTACTATACCTTTATGTACGTTTATGTCACCAAACATATCTAACACACATTCGTGTTACTGTACCTTTATGTACGTTTATGTCACCAAACATATCTAACACACATTCGTGTTACTATACCTTTATGTACGTTCATGTCATCAAACATATCTAACGCACATTCGTGTTACTGTACCTTTATGTACGTTTATGTCACCAAACATATCTAACACACATTCGTGTTACTATATCTTTATGTACGTTCATGTCACCAAACATCTAACACACATTCGTGTTACTATACTTTTATGTACGTTCATGTCACCAAACATATCTAACGCACATTCGTGTTACTGTACCTTTATGTACGTTTATGTCACCAAACATATCTAACACACATTCGTGTTTCTATACCTTTATTTACGTTCATGTCATCAAACATATCTAACACACATTCGTGTTACTGTACCTTTATGTACGTTCATGTCACCAAACATATCTAACACACATTCGTGTTACTATACCTTTATGGTTATCACACATATATATGGCAAATTATTTTTGGTTACCAGATTTTCTTATGACAAAATATTTCTGGTTTCTACAAATTTATATAATAAAAATATTTCTGGTTACCACACTTTCATATCACCAAATATTTCTGAATGTTTCAGATTAATATGACAAAAATATTTTAGCGACCACACGTTCAAATGACAATAACTTTCTGATTACCACGTATTCACTTACCAAGATATAAATAATTCGTGGCTGAGAACAGAGTAGTTATATGAAAGGTCCACTTATAGCATCGGTTTTGTGGGTATATAACTGTGGTTATAATAAATGATTTTAAATAGCATAAATTTATCAGAATCTTGATTTGTTTCGTGTTACGATTTTCTTAACTCAATTGTTGATTTTGATTTGACATATATTGAAGTATATAGAAAATTATCAATACTAAAAAGTCGTTAAAAATGCCCCATGTTTTTTATTTGCGCTAAAGCCTCTACTTATATTATGTGTGGTAAAGGATCTGGCTACATCTTACTAGTTTTTAAGGTACAAATATGAATGTTTTACACAAAGACACAACAGTGAAGGTAGTTTCATGTTTAAAATGTGTATGATAATAGGTCTGGCTACGTCTTACTAGCTTTTAAGGTACAAATATGAATGTTTTACACAAAGACACAACAGTGAAGGTAGTTTCATGTTTAAAATGTGTATGATAATAGGTCTGGCTACGAATTACTAGTTTTTAGGCTACAAGTATGGGTGTTTTATATGAAAACTAACAGTGAAGGTAGTTTCATGTTTCTAATATGACAGAGTACCGTATTTTAGGTTTAGCATTAAGAACAGAAATACGGAAAGCAGAGACAAACAGTTTTAGGAAAGGTCTGTCCACCATCTTCCTTCTAGCCTAGTTCAGTAGTTTGT